AGATTTACAGCAGGTGCGACAATATTTTGGCCATCAACTCTAAAAGGACAGTGGAGTCCCTCTAGGCTCAATTCCATGCCCCTTTTAGTCTGCTTGTGAAGTGTGAACACTCACCCGTTCCAAGAGGCTCCTTCTCGTGTGAGAGCGAGATACGAATTCTAAGCTGAGGAAGAGACGAACAAAGAAACATTCAATTTAGGATCAGAAATACATGCTTTCATATACGCCTCACCTATCAGTGGTTGATTCAATAAAAGCCCTCTGCCAATATTTGTGGAAATAGGGCAAGTAAATATATGAGAAAGTGTTCAAAGGTTGTACTTGTTGAAGAAGGCACAAGATATTTTGCCATGACTGCCTCCAGAAACGAGACGTCACTTTTGTCATTGCTTACTAAAAACACCCAAAGTGTGTGTATAATCTCACGGGCAATTTTTAGTCCGGCGCTTTATCCCAGGTTGACAACAAATATTAGGTAGCATCTTACATTATGTGGAGACGACGTCCATAAGAGTTGGAGTTGACTTCACAAATGTTTTCTGTACCAATGTTCACGCCTCATTTCTTGCCATTTACAATATTTCACAACATTTTCAATATTCTACTGCATCTTTTTATGGGTCAACACTGTATAGTTTGAAACACAGTGTCGTTTTACTGTCCCCTCAAAATAACTCGACAAAGCCATTCAAACCGTTGGCAACAAAAGTGAGTGCACCTCTTTGTAAAATTGTCCAAATTGGACACAAGCAGCTTTCTTTTTTCCTTCTCAAGTGTCATGTGACTCCTTAGTGTTACGAAGTCTCAGGTGTGAATGGGGAGCGGTTCAGGGTAAAGTAGTGTAAGCAGTAGAGTAAATAGAGACTCTATGTCACTATTTGCTGAAACAGGATAAGTAAACATACGAGAAAGTTGAAGACTCAAAGGTTGTACCAAATGACCAAACATGTTCTACACCAGAAATTACACTAAATTTCTTTCCATTGCTAAACAAAACAGCAGCACTTGAACAGTCTCTCAGCTGACAATGAGTCTTAGCATTCACAGAATAAAAATCTCGTCTTGAGCGCCGTTTAGCAATACAGAAGAGTCCAGTAGACGTGGTCATTTCACAGTATAGTGTGGTCGTTTCATGGTTATGTTTATTACTTCTCCTTGAGCTGATATTTTGCGGCATTTTTCTAGCAAATTTTTGTTTTAAAAATCCACTTATAAATTGGAATGTATCGCTGGTGCTGTTAAATGTGTGTGTTTAGTAATAGTGTGTTGGACCTACTCTCTGCTCCTGGACCCTCATTTCTCGCTCCAGCAGCTCGGACATGTAGCTCACCGCCAAGACTACGTGTTTCACCCCAGCCTGGATTCACGCAAAAAAAAAAAAAAAAAAAAAAGACATGGAAACAAACACAAGAGAGATGCACAGATCCATACACAGACAAGGACAAACATTCACATTCACACACACAAGACACACGAAGACACACACTCAATATTCATGCTCGCTGGCTCCGTTTGCTGGTAAAAAATGAAGCCAGCGTCGCATCCTACCTTGACTAAGGCCTCCACCTGGTGCATGAGGATGGGCTTGTTGCAGAACTCCACCAGCGGCTTGGGCACGCTCAAAGTGAGCGGTCGCAAGCGGGTGCCGTAGCCGCCCACTAGGATCAAAGCCTTCATCCTCGCTGATGTCTTCAGCGACCGTTACCGTGGCAACCGAGGTTCATCAACCACCACTCTGCCGGCGAACTGTGCCACACGTCTCGCTTCTTATGTTTTTCTACAATTACAAAAAATGTCACTTAATTAGCTCATTCACTGCCATCGACGGCTAAAGACGTCAAAGATCCAATTTTGATAGGCTGGTAGAGAATGAATGGTAAACGGTGGGGTGAGGGGTCTTAAGTTTATTTGCTGTTTCACTTAATTTTGGGAACACAAAAAACAAAAAAGATAAGTGACCTTTGAGTTTGCCGACAAAACTGATTTCATTCATCTTGTTTTCCACACTGGACTGCACCAGTATGAAAGGTCGTTTATGTGAATTCTGTTACTGCTCGTAGTAATCAAGCGACTGTAGAGCATCAGCGACTGTGTCATCCTCAACCACATACGAGGGCATTAGAACATGCATAATGTCGTGTGGCTCCTTTGGGATTTAATTGCAACAGTTTTGCTCTGGTACTGTTATGACGTCCATTATTAAGATAAGGAAACCTACAGCTACAGCTAGAAACAAAACAAAGAAGCGGCTAAAATGGGTAACGATCACTATATTGTGTAAGTTGTTTCTCAAGGCAACTAGAAATAAACAAGTTCAAATCCGGACTCCAGTTGTTCATAGAGTCCATAAAAAGACCACCCTCCCCTCCCCATGAGATTGAAAGCAGCCCATGTTAGCTTCGGTGACTAACTAACACGCTTCTCGATGTGGCGGAGTGATTATTCGTTCTCACAGTGGTACCGTTCGGGTCGTAAAGTGCGAGAAGGTATAAAAACTCACGTTCTGAGGTCCGCGATTTTTTAGGGAGACATCCACAGTGGGTTGAACTCCGGGAGTGACACGTAAGAACGTTCAAATCCCAGATCGTTGTCTGTCTTCCGGAATGTCAATTCACGTCATTTCAATCTTATCCCAACTGGTTTATCCTGTTTTTGATTTCAAAATAAAAGTAAAAGGTTGCATAAATTACCAAATTACGAATCGAAGGCGAAAAAATGTAAAATAAATAAACCCATAAAAAAGAAAAAATACATATAATAATGTGAATATTTTTCATTTAGGTCATTTACGAGGTTTGTTTTTAATCTTATACGGTGTTAATAATCAGCTTCCGGTAAGTATGTTGGATATTGGACAAAACACTGGCGTTGGAATCGTTTACTTGGGGGGGTGTCATCAGGGATGTCAAGAATCGTAGAATCTTACATTTTTGCTCGCTCGTTAATTACCTTTAAAATGACGTTGATCAGTAGTATACATTCAGGTGGACTGAAATACATTAGGAGAGATCAAAATTACCACACGGAGAGGATGAGCTGTGATTTACCACTTCGGTCCAAACGAGGCAATGGTACGCTCTGACTCCGCCTCTTCACTACTTTCGACCAATAGGATCAAAACAGCGTGGCGACAAACAGCGGGTAATAATCACGTGACTAATTAAAAGCCTCAAGACGCCTTTCAGTCGAAAAAGCACGTGTACAGTCCAACAAACATATTTTTAATATTCTTGTTTTTAATAGACTTATATGTAATTGATAACATATGTGAAAAATATTCACCGAGTAATTTACCTGTACTATTTCGTCGAACTCAAGCCACATGGCAGTGGCGGACCAGTTTTGTTCCACAATGTAAATTCAACTCCAAAAATCCTTGAATTGGGGAATTGGTCTCCCCCCTCCCAAAAAAAAAAAAAAATAGGCAAACAGGTGAATCCGCAAGGATGTGAGGGTCCATTAATACACACAAAGTAATCATTTAAGGTGTGTAATAATTTTTTTTCCACATCTTTAAAACTAAATTTCTCAATAAATGTGTATGTCTATATAGTTGTATTGTGTTAATGAAAAATATTTTAAAATAAAAACACTAATGCCTTGATAAAACTAAAATAGTTTATTTTCAGTTCAGTTCAAATCATTTTTTCTTTAAATTACAAAAAAAGAGAAATGCATTATGATTAATATATTGAGGATTATCATCCTAAAAGAACCATAACTCAGGCAGCCAGACTGACACTCAATAGCAGCGATTAAAATAACTTTACTTTAAATAAAATCTGGTATTCCGGTCATGATGATTTTAAGAAATCTCTTTTGTATTCAGGGGTCCCAGCGTAGGTCGCAGACCAGCGCGATGTGGTCCGACGGATGGGCCACGCTAGGCAGCGCCGTGTAGGTGGTGACCAGGTGGTGGGCCGGCATGGGGACGACCTGCTCCACCCGCATGCTGTGCGGCTGGATGAAGATGTAATCCAGGCAGCCTTGGAAGCCGCCCACGTAGTTGGTGTAGGCCAGTGGCCCGCAGGCGCTCAGCAGGGGCGGGAAAGGCGAGATCAAGTCCATTGCCAGCAAAGACGACGGTGAATCTTCCTCCTGGGGACCCGAGCTGCTCCAGTCGGCGTGCTGCCGGGAAAGCGAGGCCTCGGTGAGCAGCTGGAGGACACCTGATATAGGACAGGAAGCACCAGCGGCATTCAGAACACGCCGACACGAGCGGGAGGTTGAGCCTCAACTGGTTCGGTCGGCTCGTTTCGGAGGAAAATCTTTGGCCGCACACAAATGGGAGTTATTTTTCAGTATCCGCTTTCAAACTAAATGGAAAAAGGTTGATGTCTCCTGGAAGAGATACAGTGTAATCAACAGAAAAAAGAAGAGGCAGGGAAGGCCCCCAATTAAGCTCCAGTAACAGTCAGTATTGTTGTATGCCATTTGTATGTGTTGCTGCTCGGTATGTATCAAAGTGGAAGCTGTTTGAAGGTTTATGATTATCATTCATGCTAATTGCCATGAGCCCATTTATGGCATTTCGCTTCATATATTAGCAGGAAGATAGACTGACAGCCACCTCTGATATTTGCGCACGTGACGTGTTGATGTGAAGTTACCGGAGCTCGGTGAGGAGTTGAAGTCACCGCAGAAGACCAACGGAGCTCCCGGGGCCACCTTGCCGATCACGTGACTCAGGTGCCGCAGAGCCACGGCCATCTGGACCAAGCGGACGTTACCGCCTTCAAAGGGAAAAGACGGTCGTTGCTCCTGTTTTGTGTTCCAATGAAGTTCAAATGGGCGCAACAGCTGAATATCCGAATGGAGAAATGTTAATAATGAACGCATACTACCCATTTTTGCCTCCTGATGGTGAAACGTCAGAGTCCGACAAAGTGTTTACGGGCCTCTGTAACGGCTGCCGTTTTGGTTAGCAACAGGGTTCCAATGAGCCTTAACTTTTAAATGTACACGTGTGAACAAAAGCGTTCGTGAACTGAAAAGTAGATACGCTTGCTCGCACAGATTTGAGTCTGTTTACGTAGTTCAATGTGGGCTACTGTTTTGATCAGCAACTGTACCTCGAGGGTGCCAGTACAGGTGTGTGTTGGCCACGCACACCTTCCTGCCTGCTTGGTGGAGGTCCTCCAGCACACTGACCTACAGAGACGAGAGAGGGCGTCAAAAGAGAGCGGGCGGAGCGAGTCGATTTAGACATGGGCGGGTGCAGGTTCGATACCTGCAAAGCAGTGGAGCGCTTCACAATCTTCTCTCTCAAGGCGTCGTTGGCCGAGAGCCTCTCCAGCAGCTCGGCGTGGGCCGCGTCCGACGTCAGCGCCTCGCTTAGCGTGATGTCGTGGCAACTCAGCAGCTTGAATCTTGTCCTAAAAAAAAAATGTTTCTCCTCGTTAGGGTCACGGAGAGACAATTCGGAAACTTAAATGAAGCTAACAAATGTTTCAGGGACAACAAACAAATGACACCGGAAAGCTGAACCCAGAACCTTGAAACTGTGAGCCAGTTGCTCTGACCGCTACCGCACTGTGTTGCCCAGTGCCGAAAATATTTTCTTCCAAAATTTCACACCTGGTAACAGAAACGAACCTGCGGTAGAAGGTCGCCAATCCTTCGTGTTGCTTCTCTTTTAGCTTAAAAACGCCGTCCAGGCCAAAGGCATCGAGAGCTGGAATCAGACTGTCCAAAAACACTCCTGGGAAAAAAAAAAAAAAACAACAACACCCTGGTGTGTCAGCCAACACCTGTACAGTGACTCCTCTTTTTTTCTGCACGGGAATTCGTTCGAAAATAACCAGTCGCTAACGACGTTTACGTTCACACAGAGGGGCAGTTGAGCGAATGCGGACACGTTCAGAAAATACACACAGAGCGCGCAACGGAAATTCATCACCTTTGTCCACCTCTTGCAGGCAGACCACATCGGCGTGGTATCCAGCCAGCTCCTTCTTGATCAGATTCTGCCTGTAATCTAGCTCCAGGGCATAGGGGGCGCAGTAGGGGTACAGCACCGTCTTGGACAGCTCCGTCTGCGCGTAGACGTCGGCCAGGATGTTGTAGGAGACCACGCGCAGCGACGGCCACGCCGCCTCCTTGGTCGTGTACACGTGCCGCTCGTCAAAGGTGCACGTGCCCGGCCCGGCCTCCACGGCGCCGGCGGAGAGGAGCTCGCCGGGTTGTCCGTGGCGCCCGCCGCGGTCTTTGGGCGTGCCGTGTAGTTTGAGCCGGCAGCCGATGTCCTGGTTGGACGGGACGTAGACTCGGCTTCGGCCCACTTCGGTCCAGGCAACGTCCGGAGCGCTCCCTTCACCGGCGGCTTTACCACTACAATCGCAACAAAGACGAGATGAATGAAGACACTGGCCTTTCAAATGACGGGACTTTTTATCCGTACTCTTTACCTTTTGATGCGAGCCCCAAATTTGAGCTCAAAGCATGAAATGAACCAGACGACAAGCATTAGATTGAAAACAATTCTTTAAAAAAAGCAGGCCAAGTACTTAAAGGCATACCTTCTTTATCCTATTCCAAAAACGACAATTATTACATCAGCTCGTCGCAAAACTCAACTTTGTGTTTTAAATGCATGTATGTCTCTGTTACAGTATTTAAATGTAGAAATATTTAGATATATTTTGCCAATTTATTACAAATAAACACATTAAAAAAAAAGGTTTTTGAGATTTAAGTTGGTGTAGCCGTCCCTCAGCCAAATCAACAGGTGAAAGCTGCACTTCAATCGCAGTGGGAATGCGCAGCCATCAAACAACGTGAAAATTAAGGACAATAGGATACAAATCAGAGGGAATCATACAACAGCCTCTTTCATAAGAGTGGAGCTCTTGCCCTTGTTTGTTTCTTTTTTTTGTCGCTATCGAGATTGAAATATGAATGATGAAACGGTGAACACAAATACAAGTACAAAAGTAAAAAGCGAAGAATATTTACCTTTGATCCTTCGTAAACATCTTAAGATTGTGGTTTTTGCTTCCTTGCTTAAAGCTCCTGTCTGCAAAGTCTCGGGGAGGGAGGACCATATTAGACCTTTTAGCTTTATTCTGTGTGACATCATTGCAAAAAAAAAAAAAGTTTGTCCCAAAAGCTTGGCCATTTTATTTGAGAGTGACATTGCAATGACTAATGAAATGAAGTTGGGTGGATTTTGGATACATTTGCACAACTTTTGACGTCTCATTTCCAGACATGACATTACAATTTTATGGAATTTCTTTTTAAATTGTGTGGCAGCAAAAATATGGAAAAGGTGAAGAGGAGTGAATGCTTAAAATGATGAAGTTAGATTTTTGTTTTGGAATACTTTTGCACACATTCACCCGAAATATATTTTGGATGTTTAAGTTCGGTTCGGCTTTTTTTTTTTTTATTTGTATAAAACAAACAAAAATCTTTGAAATTCTGAGACATCGTGCGAAAAACGCTCTTACTTTTTTATTTTTACATTTTACTAAAATTCAAGGTTTGAAAAATTTCATGGCTGCAGCCTACCAAAATATGGAAAAAGTGAAGTGGGGTGACGACTCATTATGAAAAAATTGCATTTTGTATTCTTTTGTTTGGAAATTCAGACCCACGCCCCCCCCCCCCAAAAAAAAGAAAAATACTTTGACATTACTTTGTCCTGTCACTGATGGTGTATTGAACTTTCATGTGCAATAATTTTTTTCTCATTTGCGATCCACGAGTTGTTTTGCAAATTGGTGTTGGCTGCGCCAAGTTACCTGGAGTTTGGGCTCTTCTCCTTGTACCACGTAAAGTCACAGTGGTCCAGATCGCCGAACTCCATCTCCAGCTTGGGACATACGGGGAAGCCGGCCAGCAGCGAGGCCGGTAGCTCGGCGGTGGTGAAGGTGGGCTCGTTCCGGCGGACAGAGTACCGGACGTCACCCAACTGCAGCACGGCCCCGTCTCGCCATGCCTCCGCGTTGAGCACAGTCTGCGGCACCTCGCCGCCGTCGACGTAAAGCTTCACCACGGCGGGCTCCGGAGTGTCGCCCGCCGCCGACGGCTGCTGATGCCCCGCGTTCCTCTTTGCCTTCTTTGCCTTGGTTTTACCCTTAGCGAGGGTGCAGGCGATGCGGGACAGGAGCTTGCCCAGCGGTTCGTCCTGCTCCCGTTGCATGTGCTTTTGGCTGCCGTCCACGCGGAACGAGATGGTCATCTTGGGCTCCCCGGCGACGCATCTCACCGTGGCCGGCTCCATGTTGCCGAGAAGGCGGCGCGCCCGTGTCAAAGGCGAGAGCGACGAGTCGGGGAGGAGGCGACGGTAAAATGGAAGAAGGGCAGCGGCGAGTTTGTTGAACATGAATCCCGACGTTGTAACTGCCAAAACCGGACTAAACACGACTTAGATGGCCCGGAAGTGGCGAGAGACAACCGCAATGGGGGGGTTGTCTACTTCCTGGTGTCACTAGCGAGCCAAAGTGCGGATTTCGTTTGTCTTTAAGCGATTTGATATAAAAGTGAAAATGATACACTCACTTCATAATATTGTTCAAAAATGATTAGTGAAATCAGAATTAACAGAGTTATATCACATTAATTGCAGTTAGGCGATCGCCCAAGTTATGACGAGTGTGTTCTTCTACGGCTTTTGCAACGTGACCAGTCCTCAAAATAAAACTCTATTGCCTCCTACTCATCGGGGGGAAAACTACACAAATGCCTCAAAGGTATTCGCCGCGTACTGTTCTACCTTCCTCTGTGACACAAATAGTAATTTTAAAAGTGTGAAAAATTACAAATAGCTTTGTTTAAAGAAAAAACGTAATATTCTCCAAAGAAAAATAAAATCCATCCATGCATCCATCCATCCAATAGTAGCAATTTATTTTAGGGGAATGTGTGCAACATTCTAAACTACAATTTGTAAATTCAAATACTGCATGTTATAAAGATAGTTTCCAAAAAAAGGGATTCATTTTTCAAGAGAAAAGTAGCAATTAAAAAAAAATCCCTTCATACGCCGAATAAAGGTTACCCAGGGAAAACAAATGCTGCCCCAGTGTAGGTAAAAATATTTTTATTACATTTCTTATGAAGAGAAATCAATTTCTACTTTATTAATAAAACAGCAAAACTTTTCCACAAATGTCCGTATCCTGCTAGGGAACATTTTTATCCGCTATATTTTCGGAACAGCACCGTTCCATCTGTTCCGGGTTCTGGAGGAAGTCACCGTGTGCCTTGCGCTCACGGTCGTTCTCGATGCGGTTGAGGTGGACAAGCAGGTGCAACGCATAAGCCAGGACCAACAGCAGGATGAGCGACGTCACCAGACCCATCAGGATGGCCGGCGTCAGGAAGGTGGTGCAGTCGCTCACTGGCGAAAACCTGCCGGATGTCACGTTGAAGGCCTGGATCTGACGAGGGGCGCAAAGGGGATGATTTCCAGCCAATGACAGTCACGTATACATATTTCAAAGGACTTTAAAATGTGCCTGGATGTCATCCTAGGATAATCTAGCACCTGGAAGTCTGTGAAGGTGAGCGTCCAGCGGCGAGCGTTGTCGCTGCCGGGCCTCAGGAGGGCGCTGTGGCGTTCCAGGCTGCTGACGTGTGAGCAGTGGTACGAGAGTGAAGACGGCGCGTACACCTCGCTGGCATTGAACACGGCTTCCTGCGACGAGTTGTAGACCACCGAGACACTGTCCAAAGAGAACCACCACTGGCTCGAAGCCTCGTAGAAGGTGTTGGACAGCTGCAGCCTGGGAAGAAGAAGAAAATGCTCACGGTTACAGTGCTATCCATCAATTGCGACGTGTGGTTATCTATATCTAGGTAGCTAAGCCTACATCCTGAAAATACAACTTCCTTTCAGACAGTCTGCTGGCGTGGCCGCCTTGTTATCGACCATGAGTGCGCGCACGTCATGCAGAGAAAGACGGAAAAGTGATTTCCCCCCGCCCCTAAAGCCTGTCAAATATGTAGCAAAGCACAAGAAAGATACTAGACAAGGTACAATTTTTTTCAGGCCATAGGAGTGGAATTTGATTGGCAGTGTTCGTGGTGCATCAAATTTACGAGACATTTAGATTCACTTCACTGGGACTGTAGGGTATGGTTACGTGTTACGTTATATGACACAGTTAATTTGTGTTCACATGTTCATGCTAAAATACTTTACGTGATGAAACCGTTACCGTATTAATACAAGGTTGACAGATAATTTGTTACCTGATGGATAGACCTCTCAAATCATCCACGTCTCCAAATCTCATCACCAGCCTGGGAAGGACACACAGACAGGTCAAAGTGTCACTTACATCCACTTACGTCATGTGGTGGCCAAAATGAGTTCTCCCACAGATTTAGTCTTTTATTTATTGGTAATCATTTTTTCTCATGAAATCATTTGTTAATTAATTGATTGTACGCGTCACTTTTTTGCGAGTCGTGTATTCCAAGGCGTATGCGGAATGGTATGCGAAGGACGGTACATACGTGGCTCTGTCCTGGCGACACACCGACTGGCTGGTGTCCACAGACTTGAGTGGGGAGAAGGCCCGCTCGGTCAGGTCCACTTGCTTCTGCCTCTCGTAACGCAGATACAGCCTCCTGGCCTGGAACATCACGCACGGCCTCCCGTTGGACAACACCTGATGGACACATTGGACAGGTCAGAAGCCATACTTAAGGTACAGTACATTAAGGCACCACGTTATGGACCCCTGCGTTAAGATATCTTATACTTAAGATTCGTTTACATATTAATGCTAAGCTATGTTGCATGACACACTTTCTGTTTACCTGTAAATCTTTAGGTATGATACAAAGCATACTTAAGGTATGTTTACATTTTGAAGCTAAATGACATGATCATTCACTTAAAGTACATGAAATTACCACGTTAACGCTAAGCTTCATTAAATGAAAGAGAGGTTCACATGTTGACGCAAAACAAAGTCATTTAAGGTCAATTTACATACCAAATTGGACTACATGAGGTGTATTTATTAAGGCACGCCTTAATGAAAGCTGAGTGTGGGAAGAGCGTCACCTTGCGTACAGGCTGAATTCTCGCGACATTTGTGAGTTCACGAAATCTCGCGAATGCAGCATGTGCGGAGTCTGCTGATTTGCACTGAGTTGCACATTACAAAGCAACAGTGTGTTTGGGGGGCCGGATATGCAGTTGTGACAAAAGCTTTTGGTTGACATAGGCTTGATTTAGAAATATACGTCGTATTATTTAAGGCACCCTTATCCTCAGATTTACATTGCAAACATGACGTCTGTCACTCAATGCCACGATGTTATATATGCCTACTTGCCAATCATCGAGATAACAGAACTCAGCTGGTCATAACAAGGCGCATGCCGGTGACGACATTTTCATCCGTTGCCGGCGTTGGTCAAAACTAAAGTTTCAAAGATTCAAAGGTGCTTTTTGCTTGGCGGAGGGCATCATTCACTTGTTCGTTTGTATGTACGCCACCTTCAGGGGAGGGAAGGGAAGCGCGACTCCTGGCGTCTGGAGTAACTTCCTTCCTTTTGTGACGTCACGAAGTGTGAAACTCTCTTCTGTCCTCACTCGTCGGTCCACCTCCATCATCACCACTTCATCTGCACCTACTCAAATAACGGTGTCATCAACATTTATTACACATAAAGTTACACGAAAACAGGGCCAGCATTAATGTTTTAAAACAATTATAAAAGATGAAATGCAAATGTATATGTACTGTATTTCAAAGTGAAATACGACTGATATGTACTGTAAAAATGTACAAGTTTAAGCCACTGTAGCACAATGCAAAATGTAAACATTTAAATTGGCCATTACAGCATTTTCGTTCTGATATGTACCGCCAAAATATATCATCACAAGTGGGCTAATTTTTTCATGTACACCTGGAAGAAAGAATTGGCGGATGATGTATCCGCTAAGTGTGGTATTTTCCTTTTGATATTTCACACGTCTGGACTGAAGAATACACGTAAATGAAAAGGTTGCAAGCCCAGGCGTGTACTTTGTAAATAAAAAAACAAAACAAAACCAAAAAAAAGATAGCGCGAACTTGGCTGCATTCAAGTTGTTCTGCTTCTTTGTTAATACCTTGGATGCTTTGTAACCACATATACTCACCATAAACTGGAGAGGCAGCAGCACTGTAACAAGAAATAATAGCATATGAACACATTTTCAACAATTAATGGCCTTCTTTAAATAAAAAATATCCCACAGGAACAGTGCTATTTAGTTCATCTCCCACAATGCATCTGTGTACTGTATTAATCAATGTGTTTTTGTCCACAGATGCAATTGATTGTGGAGAAATCCCGTCTGAGTCAATTTTCCTGCAACCCCCCCACCCCCTAAAAAAAAAAAAAACGACTCCTGTGGATTAATCGGTCAATTCATTGGACTGGGGAGAGGGGCGGTGGGAGGGGGGGGGGATTGCTTGGATTATGTAATCATACAAACACATAAATAAAAACACAGGCAGGAGGCTTTGAGCCAAGAGGAGATTTAGTATCATCTTCCGCTGACCGCTGCGTAAGGTGAACGCCAGCCAGTCCACAATGTTAGCATTTGTTTGTCAGACAATAGTCGCAGAAGTGAATCAATGAATCTGTTTTTGCGGTCAAAACAATCACGATAATGCACAAAATGCCATATTAAAATGATTTCCTCCAATCCAATCGAATTCAACTGCTCCTCTTTACTGAAATAGCGCTACTCGAGTGGAGTGTTTCTTTCTCCTAGCACATATTTGAAAAAAAGAATTGAATGGCACACCAGAATAAAACGTTAGAAAAAGTATAGAAACTTAAATAATGAAGATCGTGTTTCAATTGAGTCACCGATCGACCTAACATGAAATCTTGGCCTGATAAACCAGTGGAAAACAATGTGATTGTTCTGTCTGTCATGAAACATCGCTTACCTCGATTAACAAAAACATATTTGGAGCAATGATGTCTTAATATGGCCTCCTAATGCTTTTCAGAGTCGCAATACACAAAATTATAGGACAGGATATTTAGATTGTACATTTTTAATTCCTTTTTTTGTATAACATGGTTGACATACAAAAAAAAAATCAATGAATTAATCAATCAAATTTGTTGAACCAATTAAGCAAAACTGGAAACATTTACACTGGACAACAGGTTTTGTTTAGTTTCCTAATTTTAAATGTGCGGTTTTTATCACCCTTGAGTTTTGAATTGAATTGAAGTGAACACTACACATATGGTTTATAAGGTCATTTCCAATAGAAATATTTATCGAAAATACTGTTGAAAATAAAACATTGAATACCTTATTTGGGGTTTGGGGTATTGCGTGGGGAAAAAATTAAAATTTTAACACATACATGGTGTAAAACTGTCATGTGTATTATTTTTATGAATACAATTTATGGTGGGCAATGATTATTAAAGGATTCCACTGTTAAAAAAGCTGCAAGCTGTGCTACGTGCAGGAGCAGGAGGACAATGCCGCTTGCTCCTTGCTGTGTCAAAGCTCGAAGATTAGTGTCAGTCTACGTGTTGCGTGTCCTTGCCTACCTGTCAGATGGATGTGGGTCACCGCTGGAAGACAATGACGGCTGAAAAAGGAGAACAGCGAAGAACAGGGGGAGGAGGAGGAGGATGCTGTTGCAGGAGGCTTTGGGAGATTTGGGAGCCATCGCTGTGCTGTGCTGTGATGTGATGTGATGCCAGCACACACACATTCCCTCTTGAGCTTCTCCCCCCCACCACCACCGCTAATCTACTTTAATCAACCCACTCCATGTTAACCCCCCCTGACAGACTGAGGAAGCAGCCAATTGGAAAACAGATGCAAGACGGCAGCATCCCCATTGCATTGCCGCACAGAATTACAGCTGCTGAGTTAATTATTTTCCAGAGAACTAAATGTAATTCATCTGACATGTATGTACATTTGTAAGATTTTACATTCAACGAGAAAGCCTTGGTTGAACTACTAACATTTTGCTTTATATGTATGAATGTGTGTTCGCGCATTAATATGTGTGGTCTGGGTCCTGTGTGCAGCATAAAAATATACAGCAGAGTGGCAATTGAGTTTCCCTCTGAAGGATTATAGTGGGTAAACTAGAACACATTTCATCAAATTAACAGTGATGATAAAAAAGAAAAAGAAAATCATCTACCAGTAATGGTTTAAAAAATATATTTATTTTCAATTATTCTCTAGTTTAACAGAAGTCGTGACACTGTTTGGGGTTGAAAATTTAAATTCTTATTGCACTAACAGTTCAGATTTTTCAGTCCGAGAAAATTCAGGGGAAAAAAATTATTTACATTCAGTGATACAGTAGTAACAAATACAAAGCTGCCATCATACCGGATGCATTATTAAGTTAAAACAATTCGAAATATTAAACTAAAAATATATATTTGGGATATTGTTTTAGTGTTTTTTTTTTGATAAAAGAAGAAAAAAAAACAAATATAAGACCGCACATGAGTGAATTATACGTATCGGACAACAACAACTCATATACCTAATTTGCCTGTAATAACACAATTCAAAGTATATACTGTATCGATAAAAAAAAAGTTGCGCCCGGTGGACATGACCATTTAAATCAGGCGTTCTGCGCGGAGGCCTGTTCCGGGGTCCTCAGATTGGAGATTTTGCCGCGGTGCATCTTGGGTCTTTCCTTTCCATCCCAGACTCGCTTCTGCAATCATGGGTACGCCGCACAATTATGCCCTTTCATCCATTAATCGTCGACATTTTGTCCATTTATTGTGACCGCGCGCCACATCGTCGCACTACGTACGCTTTTTGGTTACTTTGACGTGGAACAAATGTCTTAACGTGGCGAGAAAATTAAAACATTTTCCTCGTCGCCTGGCTCCGCAACGTGGGGCGGCCATGACGCGGCCGTTCGTCGCGTTAGCACCTTAGCTTAGCACGGGTAGCGCAAATATTGTGTTAAAATGTAACAAGTAAGGAGAAATTGCGATATTTAAATCGGTATCATGTCACATAAGTCTAACTGGTGTCGTCCAACCTTGATGCTGACGCGGTGCTGTTGTTCACGAATGATTACATTGATTCTGACCGTCTGTTTTCCAAATGACAACTAGACTGTGTTTATCGCTAAAAGTGAGATGTTTGTTGTATTAAAGCACTAGTTTATTCAGATATGTCTTTTTTGGGGCTTGGGGGCTTTTCTTGAAATCATCCTTCTGAATCGCACCAGAAATATGAAATTAAAACCATGTGTTGCCTATTTTTTTCTTCCTGATATATTTTAACACAATTACAAAAAAAACATAAGATTATAATCAATTTCAATTACTGTGGTACTTCTCAAAGCACCCTTGGTTGAATTTGGTGTTGCATTGATCTGATTTGGTCTCGCGTATCCTAAACTGTGTTACCTCCTGCAGGAAAGTGTCGCGGTCTGCGCACAGCCAGGAAGCTCCGTAATCACCGCCGTGAGCAGAAATGGCATGACAAGCAGTACAAGAAGGCCCACCTGGGCACCGCCCTCAAGGCCAACCCCTTCGGAGGGGCTTCTCACGCCAAAGGCATCGTGCTGGAAAAAGTGTATGTCCAAAAATAAACATACAGTAAACAATGAGTCAATCAGATTCACCCACAGTAGGTGATAGTCGGACATCTAGAGAAGACTGTATCTAAAAAGAGAGTTTTTTTTTTTAAAAGTTGTGACATGTGTCCTTATTGTGTGTGCAGCGGTGTGGAGGCTAAGCAGCCCAACTCGGCTATCAGGAAGTGCGTGAGGGTGCAACTCATCAAGAACGGCAAGAAGATCACCGCCTTCGTCCCCAACGATGGCTGCCTCAACTTCATCGAGGTGATGCAACGTCAACACCATCTTTTGTTTTGAAGCGTCATTCCCTAATTTCCCAGTGTGGTCATCTCCGCAGGAAAACGACGAAGTCTTGGTGGCAGGTTTCGGTCGTAAAGGGCACGCCGTGGGAGACATCCCCGGAGTTCGCTTCAAGGTGGTCAAAGTGGCCAACGTGTCTCTGCTGGCGCTCTACAAAGGCAAGAAGGAGAGACCAAGGTCATAAAAGTGATGATACAAGCAAATAAAGGTTTTCAGTTCATATTTTCACGTCTGATCATTTATTTTTTACTTTTGAGGACATAGAAAAAAAACGAGAAAACGCCACAAATGATGTCTGACAACAAAAAAAAAAAAAAAAAACTTGTATACAGCCTTAATTCTGATTACTGCAGTCCAAAGAAAATGCAATTTCACTTTTATTATTTTTTGATACAAAATTAAAGATGGATTCTTTAGCTGAAACAAATGTTTTTCCGATAAAGCCTGTTTGGAGCGCAATCTGTACAATTATGTATTTTCTAAGAATTTTCACAATGTTTTGGGACAACAAAATTTGAAGATGCATCCTTTCAAACTTTTTTCTCAAATGAAACTCAATTTAGAGATCATGTACAAATTGCTTTTTGGCACAAAAATAAGCAAGACTGAAAATAAGGTGCAGTATGATTTTTTTTTTTTTTTTTTAATAAGTGGAGTTGACCTGAGTGTATTTTGAGTAATGTGACCGGTCAGTGCTCAGTTAAATATAGTTACAGTGCATACGCGCGCGCACACACACACTCATCACAACACAACAACATGGCCGTCCTGAACCTTCGAAGGGATTTTACTGTTAGATATTTTATATCGAAAGAGTAGAGACTAATACTAGGACGAGCCACGTTGCTCGCAAGAACTCACCAACCATCATCCTACAAAAGGACACAAGCAAACGCCAAGAAGAAATCCAAAGGTAACAGCACAGTCCGATTAGTCATCCCAATTATTAATCATGACCTAGCACTTATATTAACACATAACCAGAAAATTAATATGCCAATCCAGTTGCGAGAATCAAAAGCAGATTTTCGAATGTAGTCAAAAAAAATGGTGAGCTTCTTATATATACACTCATGTATGTAATGCAGTATATTTTATGTTTTGGGTGAAAATAAAATGTAGACCAAATTTGGAATTCCAATATTTGCTGCTTTTTGCCACCCAAACCTTTGTGTGTATGTGTAAAAAAAAAAAAAAAGTAAAATTAACCCAATAAGTGATTTTGCATCAGATTTTTGCAAATCTGAATTTGACAAACTCCACTGAAGAGTTTCAAAATGATGCAACTACTTGTAGCACAACGCGGTGAACACAAAACACCGGAGATCGCGGTTTGCAACCGTGCTCGTGTATTCTGCGTCTCTTAGCGTGGACTTGAAATCGGTAGCGATGAAGGATGAGGACGACGAGGATGAAGACGACGCGGGCATGCAGTATATGATCCAACAAAGTCTGCTGGACGCCAGCCAACGCAAACAAGTCCGCACAAATCCCGTAACAACACACAGGTTGCTACCTTGCTCGATGTTAGCATACCAACTGTTACCGCCGTGATTCTAGTCGTCGTTTGAATCTCCTTATTTTGCAGCTCAAGCGGTGCAGACAGCATCCCCGTATTCACTGCGATAAGGCAAGGTGAGGTGATATCAACAAGTGCTAACCGTATCACGATACGGCTTTGCATGATCATCAATAGACAATGACCTCAAGTTGGAAAAAAATCTGCAACAACATTGATATTTCATTCAGTTGTATTGATTTCTCCAACAGCATTAATAAAGTATAACTTAATCAATACGAACATGCAGCTTAGCATCAATATTTTGTTGTCGGGTGTTTGACTGAAAGTGTCTTGATCTATGAAAGTAATTTTCCAATCATGGCGACGCTCTCATGATATAGCAATTTTGCAACTCATTATACAATGTAGGATATATCACAATATTTATATTTTGTGGGACAGTACGGTGTCCAGAGAAACTACTGCTATGATTTTGCAAGATTTTTCTTTGACTGATACCAACCGTATCACAATTGAGTGATGAAAATAATACAATACGCGATACGTTATACATTGGTAGCGATACAGTATTTTGTCGTAGGTAGAAAACAGGGGTGTTCCGATTGCAGAAGTTATGATATCTTCGCACGGTAATTGTCCAATGATTATCGTGATACCAATTGCAGGCGGTAACATTGATTTGTAGAACAAAACCTAAGTGAAGACATTACGATATGAATATGTTGTCACAGGTTGACCAGTGGGAATCGCAGAGGAACTCCCATTATGGTATTATCACTCTATGTTTGATATCCAACTGTATCATGATACAGTAATTACGCAACATTCAACATATTGGATTACGAGGTGTACAATCGTGTTCATTTACCCAGTGGTATCTAATTTATCGCGATAGGGCATTGACCCACTGTATATCGGTGCTGTATGGTAGGGAAGTGATACGGCTAGGATAATTGGTGTGTTACCACTAAGGCCGTGAGAAGCTGGTGGAGGATCTGAGCGTCAACCACAAAGAAGTTTTCCGTCAGACGGACCCTCGAGGATGGACGGCCCTCCACGAGGCTTCTGTCCAAAGCAACCAAACCATCCTGGAGCTCACTTACGCAGGTCCGTAGGAGAACCGTCAGAACCGGCCCCTTCTCGTCCAACCCGAAACTTTCTCCAGCTTCAGGTGATGACGCGGTGGATCAGCAAACGATGCGTGGCGAGACGCCACTCTTCCTGGCTGTTGAGCGAGGCTTCGTGGACAACGCCGACTTCCTACTGGGACACGGGGCCCGGCCCGACACGCAGAACCAGGACCAGGACTCACCGCTGCACATAGGTAGGCTCGGCCGTTTTTGTAGTCCTAGTTTGTGTGGCCGAGCTATCTTTGATCTGAATTGCCATATTCCGCAATGGCTCCGACTGCAGCGGTCCGTTCGGGTTGCATGGACCTGGCCCGGCGACTGCTCCGCGGGGGCGCGCCTG